AATATTTTTTATAAATTGTACAAATAAAAATTTAAAAATTTAAAAAAAAAAAAAAATTGAACTTGAAGTAAGATTTATAAATATTTATCAGACAATTAGACGAAGGTTGATCAGACGTATATCTATGTATTAAGATCTAAATACTTATATATTTTTATTAAAATAAATCTATACGTGACAATAAAATAAGTTGTATTAAAATTAATATTTAATTATCAACACATGGTATGTTATATTGGTCTTAAGACATAACAAAAATAAAAATAAATAACAATAAAATATGTTGAACTAAACTGCCATGTTTAAAATAGAATTGTAATACTGTATAATATGACTTTTAAGATTTACATAATAATATAATATACCTATTAATACTACATAGAGTGTATTGATGGATTTGTGTTTTTTAATTGTAGTTGTATTTTTTTTTATTTTTATTGTTCTTGAAAACTAAGTTTTAGATTTAATAACTAGATCATTATCCATACATTGAATATAAATATATTTATTATTTTTTATTTGTATTCGTTGAAAATCATAGTTAAAATATAATAGCACATATTTTGTTTTTTTTCTTTGAATTTTGTGCCAAATGTGAAATTGAATAGAAAATATAATTTTTTAAATACTATGAATGCATGTAGGTCAAGTACCACAAAGTATTGTAAGTATGTATAAAATAGAATTCTTTTATACTTTTATGAACTCATACATTTTTGATATTCAACTTGTAAATTATAATTAAAGTAAATATTCTGTGTGGTTTAGTTAAGTTAAAAACAATGAGTAAAGGAAGAAAATATATCATAAAACAATCGCACTTTTAAAATTATTTATAATTAAGTTTAAGGTGTAAGAGTCAAATTATTTTTTTTATACCTACGTATTTATTTCTAATTTAAACAATTAATAAATAATGTATGTCGTAATGAGCTAAATCATGAATAATGAATTTATTCTATCATATACAAGATTAAATGTAAATTGCCTATCTAAGACGCCGCGTGATTATAATAAATATTACATAATCGAAATACATTTAAATGGCTGTAGTTAGTTCAAAGTAAATGTCACTATGACTACATTTTTAAACCAATTAAAGTATTCAAGTATTTGAAATTTGAATCTCTCAAAGTTTTCTAAGTACCTAATTTTTAATTTTTAAACATGTAATAAAATTTAGTAGGCATTCAAAATAAAAAAAAAAAATGCACGTGTTTTTTTACTGTAAATATTTAAATGATAAATAAATAAAACTATGGTGAAACCTAAAAATCACAATAATAGTTGGTTTAAAAATATTTAAAATTCTTTTATTACAGTCTTGTCTGTGTCCTTGTTCGTTTATTAAATTTATACGTGTTGCGTTGATCTGATAAGATCAGTCGAAAACGCCTACGTTTACCAAGACTATGCAAATGTTTTTTAGTCACTTAACATTTGCGTCATTATAATAAAAAAACTTGAATAATATTCATGTATTTTTTTTTTTTTTTTAATGTTCAGTTATTTACTGTTCTGTTGTTAACATGATCTTAAAAAAAAAATATGTTTATTACTAATTAGTAAAACAAAATATTATTTCAGGTTAAAGTATTTTTGTAAACAAAAATATTTTCTAGCACTTGATTAATTTAAAATCATAGAATTCATCTATGTTGGTATATCAAATATGGAAATAGTCTATTTTGTATAATAAAATAATTCTATGCCATTCATTAAACATGATAATTTTCCTCTTTGGCCGTTGTAAATTTTATTTAAAATTTTTTCTGTTACAAAAATTCGTATTTTTGTCATGATTTTTACGCGACAATAGCGACAGCACGTTACATACATTCGCATATAGTTTATAATAATGTAATGCGTAAGCGTATACAGACTTCGTTTTCAGGTGTGGTTACTGATCACTGACAACACCAACCAACAATAATTTAATAAAGTGATATTTAGTTAAAATTAAAAAAATTTATAAATTGTACAATATATACATCTATCAGTAATGATAATTACCTACTCATATTATATAAACATGCAAGTTAAGATCAATTCGCGATGTACAAAAGTAGATTTTTTCCAGCTCCTTAAAAATAATATTACAACACCGATGTTGAATAGAACCAATAAAAATGAAACTATTGTTTGTTTAATAACTATATTCAATTTTTTTTAAGATAACGACTTGTCAAAGATCTATCATTTGGATTCAAACGGTTTTTATAGGTAAATTATTAGCGTTTAAACTCAAAACACCGACGTCCGACACAATATTTAAACATAAAAACAGTATATTATTATTATCTCTAGATTATTCTACACGAGACTTACATTCAGCCCATTTAATTATGAAAATATTGTGATGATCGAATTAAGCATTTTAAAAATATAAATAACTGTTTTTACTACTAGCGTTTATGGGATTATAAAATAAAAAAAATACATTTCTAACGAAAAGTATCCACTATGGAGCTTTGAATCTAATTTGAAAACTCTTGTATTCATGAACTTTTAAGATTATAATCGTGCGTAAAAAAATCCCAACGTCGTGATACTAATATAAGATATAGACAAGTCGTTATTTTCAATGTGTCGATTAAAATCTGAATTACCATTAACAGCATATATATATATGTATAAACACTATACCTAAACATTGGCAATACAAGCTTTTTCTGGACAAAATTATGTTTTAAATATTAATAATCATGAACTAACAAAACTAACAAGTTATAGTAGTAAGATGTATATTATAGTGTCCTAGTTATACGTCAGAAGTTATGTGTATTTTAAAACATTTATAAAATATAAAGTAAGAAATATGAAAAAAAAAATGTAAGAATTAAAACCGAGATTCATCTAAACTTTACTACCCCTGTAACTTATTAAGTGTATGTTTAGTGTTAAATATGCTGTGATTTTATAAAATGTATAATTTATGTATCAAGCATAATAATATGTATAAAGTATTAATAACGAATCCATTACTGACACATTTTTCTAATATTATTATATATTTTACAATGTGTTTTGTTTATGTGTGTTTGTAATCACTTTTGGAATAGTTAAAATGCTTCTTTTTTTTTTAACTTGAGGGTAGTTTCTGGAAGCAAATTAAATCTATTTGGTACTTAAGTAGGTCAAATCTTAAAAATATATAAGCATAGTAATTTTTTTATTGGCATTTCAAATATAAATTTGAACGAAATTATATATTTAAATTATGAAGAACGATATTAATTATTTTGTTATTATTTAAAAGCATTATATTTTGTTGGAACTTAAAACTTTTACATATATTATAAGTTGTACTACGTATAATAAAATTTTCAAAATAATATATGTTAATTAGTTTTAAGGTAATACAAGATCCTATTCACAATTTTTGCGCTAAGGTGGTATTAATTCAAAAGTTAATAACAATATATAATATAGTATAAATATTAGTCGTTTAATAATTTTTTTTTTTGAAAAAAATTTAATCAACCTACTGTAGTACAATATTACTAATAGTAAAATAAATTACTTTGATAATTATATAAAAATACATATTATGGAATACAGTTATTGATATAGATTGATAGATTGTCTCAACTTAGAATTGTTTATCGTATGTAATGATATACTATTAAATTCAAATTTAACACATTCATTACGGTGAATAGCAGTTTCCACTTACCTGACTGTTTTAAGTATAGATTTATTCAATTTACGTTTACATTCTAATCCAAAACATTTCAACAATATTATTTTTGTGTATTTTTTACTAGGAAAATAAACTTTTTACTTGTGAATTTTTGAGTTTAATAAAAATTGTATAAATACATAGAATTAATTAAATGCATTTTAAAATTGTGTCTACTTATAAAAATAGGAACGTGGCTATTTGAGTTATATTAATTGCACTTAAACTTTTAATTTGTCAATGTGAAAAAAAAAAAAAAAATAAAACTTTTTCAAAACAATTTTAAGCGCGTTATTGATTGTTGTTAACGATGCGTTTACTAATTTAAAAATTAATCCCAGGAATATATTTAATAATTAACAAATTATGAAATGGTGTCAATACCATATAGAGTGGATTGTTTCATAAAAAATATTTGCTTATTATATCGTTTCAATCGTTTAATTCTTACGATGTCTCTCAAAGTAAATGATCCATGGATGACAACATAGCTGGAGGAATTATTGTCAGTACATGTTATTTTTTAATATTTATAATATGTTTAAAATGTATTGACGTCCATCGAAAATTCAGCCATGTTTGTCATTTTAAAATTATATGTACAAACGTTATTTATTTTTCTAAAAATAAATGTAAATAATTACGGTGAAGACACTGACCGTATTCCAATAATGTATATCCGTTATCAGTAAATCGTGTCGCTGGAGGGATTCGTTTGTTCAACGAGTTCAATAACTTCAAGGATAAGTGGTTCTGACGATTCAAGTACTGATGATGGAATGAGTGTCGATCCTGAATCCTACCTCCATAAATACTAGTCGTTCAGCCCTTATACGGTTTCTGATCGAATGTTGTATTTTAGTTTGATGCTTGTCGATTAAGATGTTCCTGTTTTCGTTTAAGCCGTTTTCCATTGTCGTAATTGACAAGATTCCTGTCATTATGGTCGCTGGCCGACTCTTTCTCAGCCATTTTCACGAAATAACTTCTTCATTTCATGTTTCATACATATAATATGGTGATTAAGATCGTTTGAATATTTCATGGTACTCCTTCACATATCGTATTTTACAGTTAATTTTTGCACATTGAAGGTTTTTATTTTATTTTGATAGAATCTACGGGAAATAAAAGACTTGTGAGTCAACTCTGTATTATTTATTTCCTTTTTTAAATTGAAATTTTCCAATTCGTAATTTGTACTTTTAATTTCATTAGTTTTATATTTTTTTATAGTGAATATAAAACATACATGTATAACATTTCGTCGCAGGCAATTGAAATATTTCCAAACGCCTATTTAATGTGACCTGCCGTAGTTATGCTAAGTTAAGTATTTATGTCTGTTATGTTATCACATGATTAAACCGTAAACGAACGTACTTCCTCCTACGGCTCACGCTCGTAAAAATAAATTACCCGATGCGACAATAATACGACGTACTTACTCGTCGTAAAACTGTATACACCACACGATGGGTACGTGTCTGCACTCATCTTTTCCTATATAATTAGCATCGATCGCCGTTGACCGTTGCCACCGTAAAACGCGTATACACTGTAACCAAGCGTGTTACAATTGGCTTATAAAAATGTTTTCCATCCATCACGATTCAAATAGTTATGTATTGTTATTGTTTTTATCATCACAATCGTCGTCGTGATCATATTACCGCTTCTGCGATTTATCGGCGGTTTTATATCTCGCATAAATCTAATTTGGTCGTATCCGTCACCGTGCCGTTTCTATTCGATTACACCGAAAGATGCGTCGTCGTATCGTTGCAGTCTTCCGAAGTCAGTGGTTTCGATGCGCCATGATCACGCTGGCGCTCTGTTATGCGGCCGAATGTGTAATGCGCAACGAACCGTACTGGGAAACGGACGTGGCATACTTACACTGGTCAACCGACGTGCCAGCAATCACCGTGTGCCCTGTTGCTTCCGGTCCTTCAGCAGATCACCTTCGACCGCCGATGCTGAGGTCATCATACACACACTCAAATATTTCGTTTCATTAACATTATACGTCGAAAGCGTAATATAATAATAACATTAATAACTAATCCTTCCTCGGTTCGTGGACATTTTTAAGTCTTATTTCGACTTAGATACATATCTATAATGTAGTATTCCTCTCGTGCAGAATAACATACATAACCATTGTGACATTGTATCCGTCCATCCTCTCTAGATTTGTTGCCATTGTTACCGATGGATTTTCAGTCGATAGTAAACGAGTCGCATGTATTGTTACTTATAGTATATTAAATTAGGTTTGCAAAGTGTTCAGCACCTATTCGATACGAGCACTTTTTTCGTTTTCATCGTAACTATTTATTTTATATAATTCTTCAGTCGTAAATAAAATATATCAAATAAATGTTTTAATATTTCTTGAAAATCTTTTAACATTATTTTAGCCATTTCTTCAGTATTTTAATTTTTAATTATTTGTGATCATACAGAGAGTTATTGACTGTGGAGTATTTCTTTAATTGAATTGAGATTTGATATTTGGCTGCGTCCTATAGTGAGATACCGTATATCTAGATGTGCAAAAGTGGAGTCTTATAGAGAAATCATTTTGGTTTAAGCTAATTTGGAATGTTCATCTAGTAAATCGTAAAAAAATTTAGGCTGAAAATATAGTGGGGATAATCTATTACATAATATAGTCTTAGTAGCTTTGTTTATATCTACGGATCAAATAAACATTGTACCTTTATCTACAATATTATAGTTAGTATATTACCATATTTTAATATAAATTGAATTTTAATATCTACATATATTATATAGATTAAAATATTATAAGTAATATATTTGTATAATGTTAAAATTTCTAAACAGGAACTATTAAAATACTAAATTAAATGATAATCTATTTATACATTAAGATATAAGTGTGTTAATTCTTTGCGAGCAAATTTATTGTGGTTAATTTATCGCAACGTCAATTGATTGTGTGTTAATCCATTGTACATATACGAGAATATACTTAAATTCAATATTTTCTTTCTCATTTTAATACAGACTTAAGAGTTAGGACTATATATATATATTTTAAATTAAAAGTATGGTTTAAAATATTGTCTTTTTTTAAAAAAAAAGTCAATAATTATTAGTGCTTAAGTTGAAATAATTAATCAAAAAAATTATATAAATGTAAAATTGCAATTAGACATTGTTTTTTATTCCATGTAAATATTCAACGATCATTCTATATTGAAGATCAAAGCCCAAAGGTGATATTTTTCAAACTGTGCGCTTTGTTTAAGTATTTTTTTTCTCAAGTGAACATTCACCAACTATATAATGATCGAGTTTTACTTTATTTATATTTTCTTTTTTCTTCAACGCAAATATAAATTTCCAAATACTTGGACGACATTGATTTAAAACTGAACTAAAATAATTATATCATCTTTCTACTGTATTATTAGTTCTAGGTAAATCTTCTGAAACCAATTCCAAATTGAAATGTTAAATTTAAGTGCCCTACTTTTTCGTTATATATTCATACATCTTATACAAGTTTCTTTAAAATAGTTGAGTATCGTTAATAATAACTAGTCATATTTGACATAGTATGTAGTTTTCAACAGTTGATTATAAGCATTCGTTACCTCACTTTCTGGTACGAAAGCTAAACCTGGTACTTTTTGTATTTGCGGTGCAAATTTTACATTGTTCTTCAAATGGAGTTTGAAGACCTGCATCTTGAATTTATCACAATATTCACTGAAAAATGAAAAAAGCTTCTTTTTATTTCTGTTTTTATAAATTCATCATTTATTGCATTCATTAGTAGTTTCAAAGTTAACCATTCTGGTTTTAGGACTTAATCCCGTATTATTAGTTTTAAAAGCTTAAAACATACCTTTATAAGTTTTTCTTTTTATCAGATAGTTAGACAGAACCTGATGGTTTACTTCAATTAACATACGCGCATCATTATAAAATAATAAATATTATTAAATTATGAGTTCCACACGCTGTGAGTATAAGTGAAGCAATAAAAATGTATTTAATTATCATAAATAATGCTTAATAATAATACGAATATAAAAAATAAAAACTAAATGGTAATAAGCATGGCTATACATTTTTTTCCATTCAATAAATAGTATGAAGTTCGTAAAAAAAAAATCTTGAAATTCGGAGAATTTTTATCTTACAATTCTTTTCATAGAGTTAAATACATCTGGAATTTATACAAATTATTTTTGAGCAAAATAATAACGTTTTCCGAGTCAGTAAGTATTATATATTTTATTACAATCGTAATTTTATTATTCTCACTTTCACAGCGTTCCAATTTAAATAGCCAAGCATGCAATACATCAAATTACTAGGTTACTTTGGTTTAATTCATCATTTAATAAAAATATAGGAATTGGAACAATAAATTGATTAATTAATAAATGATAAATATTTAAATATTAAGTTATAGAATATATATTGATTTTTTCTATCGTTTTGACAAAACTAAATTTTAAAAAGGAATTTTAATGAAACAAAAATATATTTCTATATTAACAGCTAGCATATTAAAATCAAATATATATATATATATGGAGAGAGAGAGAGAGATAAATAAGACGATAAAAACAAAATATATAACTTATTCTAGGCTTTGAAAAGACAATCAATTTTATAATATGTTCTACCGAGTTGAATTATAAATAATTGTATGATAATGAAAATACTATTTTACTTAATACATTTGTATGGTTAAATGGTGTAACGTATTAATTTTTTTTTAATTTAATATATTTTTTTTAAATATGATTTGTATCGTGTAAAATTTACTTTTTATACCATTCTTTACCTTTCTAACATTAAATTATATAGATTTATTCGTAACTCATCTAGTATTCAAAATAAAAGTTTTATATTGTACATATTTCAAATCATTCAATAAGGCACAATATTTATATAAAATAATTAATTCGATTCTATAGCCACAACAATAAGATGTTTAAGTATAATTTTATTTTAAGGAAAAACTTGAGTTTGTTAAATAATCACAAAAATTTAAAACTATTTAAAATGTATTATATTTCCAAATAACAATAATTAGGTAAAATAAAACGTATTTTAAACATTTATTTAAAAAATTTTTATAGGAAAAAATCAAATACAAATCAATATAAAAATAAAAAAACAATAATTCATATATTTTATTCATCCAAATATGTCTTTTTCATTATTATACATTTTATAAATTATAAACGATCATTTCAGAAATCGCATTTATAAACCACTTAGTTCCAATAAAAAATATTGGTGAAACTCACAAAAATGTCACAATACAATTTTGGCCAATTCATTAACTCATTTATTAATAATTTATAGAATTCAGCTATTTAATATTTATTTAACAATAAGTTGAATGTATTATTATACAAACATATTTTATTAATAATTATACTTATACTTGAGTACAATTTTTTAACATAGATAAGTTTTTTAAGCAGGTGCATCATTTCAGGTTTTTTTTGGGATGTGTAAGATTTCAAACAGGCCATTTTGAAATTTCACTAGGCCATATAAAAATAAATTTGCGTATATTCACATTATTATGTTTTCAATTATTTCTATACATCACATAAACCGAATCTTTGCATCAATATAAATAGAAAAACTCAATTTAAAAACTAAAATACGATAAATAATTAACAATCATAATTTATAGTATACCAATATTGATAAATGTCAATATAAAAATTTAAATAAAATTTAAGGAGATTTAATTTTGAACATTATCTCAGCAGGGCGCAGGCCAATTAGTATTATTTTAAAAGTAAAGGGTGCAACCGCACATCCTGATTTCCCTAAATGACGCCCCTGTTTATAATTAAGTTAAAAATACGTAAAAATTTAAAAATAATATTGAGAAATATCAGATATAAATTATGATAAATCAAAATTAACTATTATAACAGTTATTCTATTACCTACTATAAGTATTTCAAAAATTCAGTTTTCTCAACAAGTTTTAGTTTTAAGTTAGTGATTAAAATGATGCACAATTTAGGTAGGTACATATTCTAAAAAAGCATTTAATTTTAAAATTTTTACTTGAAAAAGTTTCAATCTATTTTTTTTTTTTACCTTTTCGACTTACGCCCCTTTACTGACTCAATATTATTTTTATTTTTTACTAAAAACTTTTATTTTGTTAAAGTTTTCAAAATAAATTTGATTATTGTGCAATGCTATGGTAAATTCGATTTCATTGACAGAGAAGACTTTAAGACGTGCGTTCAAGTCATTAAGTACAGCTTTCGCAATAGAAATGTTTATTTAAAAAAAAAAAAAAAAAACGATAATCTCATTGAAAAACGCAGACTATGGTTCTAAAAATATTTATTTTTTTAAATTATAAAAAATTATCGGAATAAATTTAATAATTAATATTCATCTCACCAATAAATAATTTTTAGGTAAAATAATTAAATAATACTGGTTTTATAGGTTTATCTCACCATATTGATTATAAAGTATAAACCTAAAAATTATAAGCAATCAAATAAGTTATTTTTACTTATTATTATTCATTATTTTTGAGATTTTGTATTGAATTTTAATATTTAAAATGAAAAAAAAATAAATAAATTTACATAACTATTCATAAAATAATTAACTTATCTTTTTAATAAATAATAACTTATTTTAGGAATTATTATAAGAACAGTTTGTTTTGTTAATTAATTGTAGGTTATTTAATTTAATTAATATTTATTACACCTAAAATAGACCTTTACTTCGTTTTTATCTAAAAATAGAAGATTATCTAAAACATGTCATAAAAATAAAAAGTTTAAATCTATATATTATACTATGTTATGAAGTATTATTTATTCTCTCTTTGATTTAAAAAATAAGAATATCATAAAAAAGTTTATCAGTCCTCTTCGGAGACTGTGTTTTTACACCCAAATCAAATTTTCTATCTGTCATCCAATGTATTCTATAATTTATTCCTGTGGTTATTGCTTTTATTCATACAGCCAAACTACAAAATATTTGTTTTGAATATTTGTGTATTATAATGATCGTTACAGTATAAAACAATAATAAAAGTTTAACTTATACAGCACTGTAATACGTTTATATACTTATATAGATAATATTTGTGAATATAATGCATATTTAATAGTTTCATATATTTTGAATGAAAAATATTACTAAAAAATACCTATCGTGTAACAACTTAGATGCGATAAATAAAATATATTAAATTTTATAACAATAGAATTGGAAATTCAAAACCATTTTTCCGAGACTTGTCAAATACAAATGATTTTAACCTATGACAAAAACACATTTAGAAGGTTAGCAAACGTGAATATATATATATATATATTAAAATACATAAATAATGTACATGTAAGTGTGATTTAATATCAAAACTCCGTTCCTTTATAGATTAAATTAATATTTAGTGTCATATTATTAATAGGTTTTTGTTTTCCATATTATACAATAAATTTAAAAAAACCTTATTTAAACTTTATTTCAAACTTACACATTATAAAAAACTTCAAAATTAAAAGATTTTTAATTAATCTTAAAACATAATATTACGTATAATTATCTTAAATTTAAACGTTTTATATACGTTGTGTATATACAAATTTAATGAAGTTTAAAAATAATTTAAGTAAATGGAGAAAATTCATATATTTAAACGATCAATTAAAAATTATAATTCAAATTAAACAACTAATTGATATTTGTTTGATTAACATATATCGGTATTAGTGAATAAATATTTATATATTTTATAAAAATATATTCCTTTATAAATAAACTTTTCCTCAAAACTTTTAAACAACAAAAGAATTGTTTAAATTACTCATTATTAACATTATATTATAAGCACAACAAAATAATGAGTTATACTACGAGTTTATACTGATTAATACATATAACTATTATAAATACAATAATTAAACTAATTATTATAAATTTCCGGTATATACTATATACAACTAGATTTACTGAGATATAAATAATATTGCTAATTTAATTTGGGCGTTAATGCGTACATTGTTATAGTAAAAATATTAGGTGACATTAATATAATTAATAATGAGTTATGTTTATTAAATTGTATCTTAAAACAATAAAAACTCTAAACTTTAGGTTTTCAGTACATAGTTACTGATTTCTTGAAGAAGTACTACTATAAATCCGTTTACTGTGTTATTAAATCACTTAGAGTTAGATTTGTGCATGTGATAGATGACTTGAATAAAAATTAAATAAAAAAATATTGATTTCTTGGGTAAATAAAAAAAAGAAAATGCAAATTTTTCAAAACCATTATATTAATTTATTATTTTTTTATTATTAATGTATTTATTAAATGTAATAACATTTACTGGAAAAATTGAAGTGAACAACATAGCTTATATTTTATCTTATGAATCGATAGTAGATACTAAAATCTTGTAATAATGTTCTAGTTACTGTACGTGAATACTGATAATAATATCGTTTATTATTTAATAAAAAAAAAAAAAAAAATGTATTTTGTTAGTTTTACAATAAGATTTTATGATACAAATAAATTCAAAATATATTTTTTGTATTAATTTAATTTATTATTATCTTTATGAATATCTAAAAAAATATTTATTATTTTTTTTTTTTCAGTAACTCAATTTTCAATGAAGTTGACAATACCTTAAGTATAAATATAATAAAACGGACAAACGAATTTAAAAAAAAGGTAAATTTACAATAGAATGATAATCTAAATAAAAAAAATTGAAATTATTTTATAATAACAAAAAACCAAGAGTAGGTATGTATATGACATATGTATACCATTCAATCAATTTAAACGCAAATTAAATTTATAAAATCCTTACATTGTGCTTTCAAAACGTTTCACAGTTACCTACGTATATTATTATATTTTATACACAGTAAATTGCTTAAAATATTTAAAGTAACTTTAATGTATTTGTACACTGTCTTAATGTGGGCCTTGATTAGTCATAACTAATAAGTTAAAAACAACTACATATGGTATACAATTTTAAAAATTAATAATATAATAGATAAAATATTTTTGATGATAAATCAATATACCGTATTACTAATAGCAAAATAAATTACTAGTGTGAAAATGAATCAATTATAAAATATTTTTTAGAAATACAGGCTATCAGCTTGCCTCTGCTAATAACGTTTTTGAACTCAATGATTTATCTTTGAATTCAAATTTTATGTATCAAATACTTTTATTCAATGACGAAGTACAATAACTACTAAACAGCAGAGTGATATAATGGATTTTTAACATTTTTTTTTTTTGAATATTAAACTTGAAATGGAAGTTATGGGTATTATTTTTACATATTTTAACTTCAGAATGACGTATTCAATAAAATTTTAGTTCTCTTTTATAAAATAATGGATTATAAAATATAAATACTACATTTAATATTTCTGAAATCATAAATGATAAAAATGTCGAAAAAAATATTCTTGAAGATATATATTAACTACCAATATTTCATATTTATAAATACTATTTAACATCAGTTGATGTCGAAAACAGTTTTTCTGTTCATAATAATTTATCAATAAACTATTAAACAACCTGATATACAATTATACAATGTAGAAAATACATTTTTAATATGTTTAAATCGATAAATAAAATATAAGAACGAAATAAATTCAATACTGTTTTTTAATTTTTTTTATTGGTATTTCAAATAATGAATTAAACTCGTTCACTCATAAATTATAGTCAAAAGTCAAATTATATTTTAACATATTATTTTTTTTTTACTTTTAAATATATAAGTAATATTTATTTCATTATTATTAACTATTTTAATTAGTTTTTAAGCCCAAGATGTGAAATAGAATTATATGTGTGAATATAATCATATATTTTAACAACATACGTATATAATATAACATATGTTTGAATTTACATTTTTTAATGATCTTATTTTCACTACCCAATTTTAAATATTTTGTATAATGTAAATAATTTTCAAACATTTATTTAAGATCATAATGTTTTTTTTTTTTTTTATTATGTTATACAAACAATATTCGATAATATTTATAACAAGTTCTATTCCATTTATTTTTCCAGTAGATCATTTTAATAACACATTTTTAATAATATTCCTGGAACCAGGTTTTGGATAAATATTTTATTTTGTGTATACAGATATTATAAATCATACTAAATTATTTAGGGTTATTAAAATAATTATTCAACTCAACGATATCAAATCATATTAGGTACATTAGTTATTTATCGTTCAAATAAAAAATATACAGTTGACATTTATAATATAAAGTATTTTCTGTAGGCTACGACTTAAGTGTATTTTATTTTTCTTGATAATATGTTGCTTTTTTGGTATTTTTAATACAACCTATAATAAAAATTTATGGGAAAAAAATTTAAATATCATTTTAATTTCATATAAGGATATAATAACTATATGACTCTATAATACGTACGTTACCAACTACGTTTGAAAATGAAACTAGAAAGGTTTAGCCTGTTTACTAGGTGTATAAATAAATATGCATAATATTTATATACTTTTTTTTTACACTTCTGTAGAAGTTAAAATTACACTCTTGGGGTGCTAAAGTTGAAAGTATTGCTTCAAATGTATCCCTAGTGTCATTTTACTACAAAAATAAAGCCGCAATCAAAAATATTGTTATGACGCCTAAAAATGGCCTATGGATAAATACTTAAAATAAAATAAAATACCTAAGTGATGACTTTCAAGTTATTTGAAATAATTGTTTTTCAAATAACAAAAAAGTATTAATTCAACACATAGAAGTAAAATAACAAAGATTTTGAAACTTAAAAAATGGTATATTCAGATATATTCAGAAATATTGTCACATATAAGTAATATATCTAGATTATTATATGCGATTTAGATATCTACTTAAAAATATGTTTTTGTATAATTGGAAATCAAACTATACTAAAGATCAATTTATTTTTCTCGATAATTATAGGATAGTATCGTATTGTGTAAAAATATGTTTAAAAACTGTTCATGGAACGGAAAACCCTTCAACTGTTGCAGACATTTTCAACCACACCGATTCATCATTGATAACCCTTGTTTTAGCATCAATTCTTTACAAACAATTAACAAGTATGGTTAAATGATACATAACATAAACCATAATATTTTATAATATTAGTAAAATTTGATACTCAACAGGAAAAAGAATTTAGTTGTAAGCCATTTTTCAAAACGTGGAGAGTTAAAAATGGAATTCAATAAGCCAGTTGAGGTGAGCAATTTAATTTAATAAAACGTTTACTTACAATATAGTATCATAATTTTATCAATACTCAGTTAAATAAATAATTTAAAATGTTATACACAAATATAAGTAATATACAAATTGTATTCGAAATAAATAATATTGACTAAAATAATAACACTTAAATCATACAATATTTTATTATCATCAATCAATAATCTTAAATACAAACGTAATTATATAAATTAATTTAGAAATAGTAAATAAATGTAAATATTAAATAAAATTATGAAATGTATAATCTATTTACCAAATGTTGTGTAAATATTTATCATATAGCTAATAAGATTTAACCATTTTTATTGAAGCATATTTTTTGATTAATAAATAAAAATAATAATAATAATAATATTATCATACTATATGAAGCTGAAGCATAAATACTTTAAGCTTTCATTGGACAGAATTATCTTCAAATAATTTTATTTAAATCTATTTTATCTGATATAATATTAGATTATTAAATTGATCATAATAATGAAACTATATACATATTTTACTCGTATCTACACATTTTACATTTCTTTTGTAAAAAAAATATTTGTTTATTTGGTTAATAATTAGGAACTTATTCTTATTTTATTGGTAAATTATTTTTATTTTCAATCGGTTTTAAATTTTAGTTTAAAATGGTCTAATGCAGTATTTGGAAATTATTTATCTATAACTATAATTAATACTTAAATAATATAATACTAATAAGTCTCTACATAAATTCGTAAAAAAAAAAAACGAAATTGTTTTTATAGGATAAATATGTTACCGAGAGTGTTCAATAATACATTTTATGCATACCAATAGTCAAAACCAACGTTTCCCTAATGTTCATTTATTTATTTATTTTTTTTTATCATAATTATATTTATTTATATCATAAAAATAATATTATTTGTTTGATTAATTATTTATTCAACCAAAATATGGAATCTTAACAAGATCGTGTAGATTATAACATAACTATAATAATTATGAGCTGTCTTGTCCTTTTCCTGGAAGTAATTTTCAACTTGAAAAATCATGAGTATTAATCTGTGAACATCATGCTATCCATAGATATGCAACTTAAACATTGACTTCAATAAACACTTAAATATGTATATCGTGATATAAATTAATATTTACCTCCAACGATTGGTATAATTTTATGTGTATCTTATATGTATGTGTTTTACACTTGAAGGCCTACTCATCGAACTTAATATCAGCTATTATTTTTTAAATTAATACTTAACTACAAATCATAATTATTTTTAGATTTCACTGCACGGTTTGATAGAGGTACGATTTGGTGAGTTACAAAAACAATACGTTACGATAAAGACGGGCGAGGAAGTGGAACTGTTGTATATGACCCGTCAAATCGTCGAGGACGTTTCATTGGTAGCTTTGGGCTTGACCAAACGTGGATGTTTGTTGCAAGACGAAAAAAAGTTATTTCATCACCCCGTTTACAGTAAATCCGCTTGTTTACTAGAGTGTGCTTTGCGTCAACCCGAAGTATACGGTAAGATATTGAGGAAATAAATGTTTTAAACCGTATTTAAACAATATATACTGTACATATGTATCTCAATTCTTTTCAGTAACAGTGGTCCTTATTTCGACTATAATATGTTCTATTTAGACAGTACCTTCATAAAATATATACTTTGCACAAAAAAAAAAAAAAAACAACGTATTGTTTAGAAAATAATAAATAATCTATGTGCTGAACAATATACGAGCATTTAGTATCTATTGAGCAATACGTTTTTACTTGTTATTATCATTCTAGAGAATAACCGATTATGTATCTACCATTTTTAGCAATACAATTCAATGACACATTAATTTACACATATTTTAAATTTTATGACCATAGACGATTTACGACTCTAAAAATATATGATTCATCTTAATAAAAATGTACTCATATGATATTTTTAGGGTTTTTATAAGTGTTTTTTTTTTTACTAAAGTTATTATTTTTTAAATTAAATTAAACATCATATTGTTATAATATGCTTTGTTACCCGGCTAATTGTTTTTGTTCATTTATTTATTTTTATTTTAGAACTTTCAGTATAAACAATTATAATTCAACAGTTATAATATACAAAATGTAGAGTTTTCTTTTTTATTATTATAAGATAGTACACGATCTCTACACAGAACAATAAGTATAATATGCGATAATATTAATATAGTTAGCATGATTATTTTAATATAACTCATTTAGAAATCATCCATTAATGATACTTGACTGAGAATAATTGGTTTATCAATCATCTATTGCAAAAAGAGGTCGTAGGTTCTTTTAATAACCTTAAAACGATAAATGAGATTCTACATAAGTCTTATTATAGCAATTTAAATATATGAAAAATACAGTCACATTTTTTTTTCAGAGTTTCAAGTTCAAATACTGACAACATTTTTCAAAATCACGTTTATATGTTAATTATTAAAAAAATAATGAAAATTTTTATATTTATATATCTAGATAACATAATACAATGTTCTTCATTAATTTATTTAACATTATTCTAAACATACTATAAAAAGTAAGTTTATATCTTTCCACTAAAAATTCTCAAAAATAATAATTTTAAGATGTGCATTATCACATGATAAAATTAGAATGAGAATACTTAGTGAATCACTCTATTGAAAGGATAAGAATTACGTTAATAAAATTAAATCAAAATTTAATTATTTGTACAAATTTTTTTTGAATATTTAAGAATAAAATTTATAAAATTTGTATTTTTCCTTTTACCCGAAGTGTATGTAATATTTTTAATTAACTAAAACAAAATTGTTCTTTATTGTTTATATTAATATATTTTTGTTATAGCTAAAAATTACACATTATGTGATTGTCCTCCTACATGTGCAGAAATGGAAATAAATAACATATGGAATGGAACCCAAAGGTATAGTAATAATAACTATACGTATAAATACATTTTTATTTTTAAAAAGAGCATTAGGATTTAATTTCATTATCCAAAGAAAATAACTTTGGTTAAAATGTGATTTAAAATATAAATATGCATTTAAAGAGTCCGTTATAAAAACATTATCGCTTGATTCTGTATAATATTATATAGGTGTGGTTTTAAGTAAATCAAATTTCAAATCTATCATACTTGATTCAGTAACAACGTCTTAAAATTCACATTAATTATTTTCAGAATCATGATACGAAAATAAACATTTTCTAAAAATACACAAACATTTTACATTAAAATTAAATAGTATGATAGTATAATATATGTGTTTATTATGAGTATATATGTGTTGATAAAATTAATTTGCATATAGCTATAGTAAGATTATACTCAAACTTTCTAAATAGAAATAAAACATCGTTGTATGTTATCTGTGTGAATAATTGACATGGACCAATTTTAGAAAAACTTAAAATTTTAAAACTAATTTATCGATACGCGCAATAACTAATACATGAACATTTATTTTTATGTTATAATTTGATTTTACAGTGGACTCTAATACTATTAGACATTCATATACATTTTATTTGCTAAGTAATTATTCATTATCACTATCAATAATAAAACTATACTAATAGTATACTACATTGGATTTTATAACACTGAAAGTGCGCTAAACATGTTTTCGCCGAACCGCCATTCGGGCGGGTGTAAACGCTATCACTACGTTTAACATCAATAAACTAAATTTAAATAGATCACTTTGATTTAAAATTTTTTTAAGAAGTAATTATAGTATAACACGTTATTTTATTACCGTCTGCATACAATATACACAAACGTTTTATCATATGATTAAATTAAATAATACAATAAAAACTTTGTTTTCTATAAATACAAACTATCAAAATTTAAATTAACATGAAAAAATCTGGGGGTGCTAAGCACACTTAATTCCCTCCATATTGTGCCTATAAGTAATGAGTAAAAGTTAGAAATATTTAACTTAAAAATAAAATGAAAAATATGAGAGAAAAAATTATATGTATTGAATATTTTATAAGATAAGAATTAAGAATTTTTATAGGTTTTATACATAAATGTATATTGTATATACATATGAATGTTTAATTTTTGTCACTATAAATTAGATAGTATTCAATAAAGTTTTTTTATGTATAAATTTCCCAAAACTTTAAGAGCTTAAGGATTATTTTTTTAACTTCTTTAAATATATTTGAGATGGCTTACATATAAATTTAGTTTTGCCTTGTAAAAATTCAATATCTAATTTTTATTTAAATGACTGCCATTGATTACAATTTATATTACTATTGTTATTAGTAAAAATATGGTATATTATTTAAATCAGTAGTTCTCAATCGGGGTGGCATGTCACCTTAGGGTGACATGGACCAAGCTTAAGGGTGACGCAGAATTTTAACAAGAAAAGAAAAAAAATTTAAAAAATTAATTTTTTCGAAAACAATCATATTATTTCTTATAATAAATATATTATACACCTATACCACCACTGTCATGTACATAACATACTTCAAAGTTCGTATCTTTATAGTAGTTTGTATTATTTATATTTAATTTTTTGGTCCGATAAACACGTATACCTAGTAATTTGTCGTGCGATAACGCTGCGATACACAGCTAAGATTGTTTATTATTTTGATGTTAGGGTGACGCAGCGTTTGATTCTAGTAAAGGTGAGATGAATCAAAAAAGGTTGAGAACTACTATAGATATATTTTAAGAAAAACACTTCTAAAAACAAATAAGCAGTAACTAACACAATTAATAATTACAATAATTACTATTATAATTTTCTTTCTTAATTCTGGATATATATTTTTATATAAATATAAAAAGATAAAAATAAATTAACACAGATCTTAACGGTAGTGGTTGTATGTCAACTTTTAAGTGTATGTTGAAATTTTTTTCAATTTTTTAGCCTAGATATAGAAAGTGAAAAATCATAAAATTAATCATTGAAGTTATTTTTGTACCATATTGTATTAATTCAACTGAAGCAAAATGGAAAACAATAGAAAGATTAATCTCGCGTGAAGTCAGGCAATACAAAAATATTATTCGATATAAATAACCTTGAATTGAAATATTCATGTTAAACAATACACTATTTTAGTCGAATAAAAATTTAACTATTGTATTATTTACTTTATAATCTTTATTCTACAAATAAAGTTTTATAATGATATCAGAAGTGATTATTATAAAGTATATTGTGAATAATAACTTCATTAATTTACATGGAATATTAAATATTATTTTCATTATTATTTATTAATCAATAAATGTTTAGATCAGTCGATAATGCTACAAGATGTATCCTTACTATGTCAAAACCAGCAACGGAGCGATTGGTTATGAAAGCAAAAAAAGATTACATAGATTTAATAGGTAAACATTTTTTAGATATAAATTTAAAATAATTAAATTTACGTGTTATTTGTCTATAGTATTTTAATATATAAATACAAAGTAATCAAATGTATTCAATAAAAAACTTTAAAACAAAACCATGCTAGACGATAACTTAAACATTATATTTATATAAGCTGTAATTTAACAGTTAAAATATTTTAATTTAATACTTTGAACATTAAATTCTCATACTTGGAATATATTGTACGAAACATTATTTACTTATAATACTACATGAATAATAAAATTTAATTTTAATGCCTGGAATTATTTTACAATTAAATTAAGTTTCAAAATGTATAATATTTTTGATAGTAAACAATACAGCTAAACTGTTTTCATAATCAGTATTAAATAAAGGCAAATGTTACCTTAATGTTTAGTACTGATGATGTCAAAACTACTATAGCCGAAATTCGTACCTGTTAAGAACACGATTACGTATTATATTTTGTACATTTCAGGTTTTTATTTATTTATATGATATAAAAATATGTAACTTACACGTGCATAGTGCATACTAACAAGGACTTACTGGTTCAATATGCATTTGCATAGTAAGCTGGTGTTTTATTATATCTACCAAGCCTATATAAAATGACCCAACGTGTACCTATTATACAAAAAATATTCTTATAAACCGATATTATTTGTAAGTACTCGTATAAGTAATTTTATATCAAATTAAATTCTATACATGTTTGATTCCCTGCGTATTATGTAATATGCTAGTATATATAACATTTTAAGGAGAATAAAACTTAAATCACAGTATACTCAAAAATATAAATATATTTTATTTAGTTGATAATTCGAAAAAAAAAATGAAGAGGTAAAATGTTTTTGTACGCTAGGTGTGATTATGCAATACACTAGGGGCCGATTTTTTTTACAGAACAGTGGGCCAGATTAGTCCGCCCCTACTCACCAATTATTCAAAACAGAATAATTTTTACAAGGGTATTTAAAAACATTAAATTATACAAAAATGAATTAATGGTTTTGAGATCAAAATGCCTTTCTATTATAAATTATGTATAGGTTCAAAACTCAGTATAATTTATATTATATTAAAAATATTTTATAAAGAATAGTGTTTTATTGATACTTACAGTTCACACTATAGTAATATATATATATATATATATATATATATATATAATATGAGTAACATAAGTAATTATAATATAAATATGAATGTACAGATTAAGGGTATTTAGATAATAATTATTAATATTACAGTAAATGTAATATAATTAATATTATACCTACATTTTTTATAGTTCTTTAATATCATTAAAACAAACGCATTATGATTTCATTCTAATACATTTTGTAATGATTTCAGTTATCGTTGCCTGCATGCTACAATTGTTCACCGGAATAAATTTATTAGACATTCCAAAATCTATATTTAAAAAAAACTATACCTGATATAATGTAAGTTATAATAATTTAACTTAAATTTAAAATCACCATTATATTTATATTACATTTATTTTATTTATAACTCTTTTGCCTTCAAAAGATATGCAGGTTATTATAGGGTATAGATAGTTTTTACTGTGATAAAGGGTACGGATTAGAACACTTGTTATGTGAAGAGAATTTGTCAACTAAAACCCGGTTGTGGTCACCCATCCGGGAACTAGCAACACCAACCGATGCTCTATCTCAGTACACGTCAATGACTAAGGTCAACAACCGGGCTACACCAGGCCACATGAATTTTTATGATTGAACATAATTATTAGATAATTTATTATTGTTTTCAATTAAATAAGCTTTTATCGACTTGTAGACGCATAGCTTTATAAAATAAAAATATGTTAAAACTTGAATTATTCGTTCATCATAGTTAAGTTATAATAATATGCGTACACTATTTCCTATGCAAATGAAGTAAAATCAATAATATATTAATATGCGTATTATTTTTTTCCAACATTATTATGGAACACTCAAATCATCATTATACCAATACTCAATAGGTTTCTAAATTAAGTACTTATTGTAATGTGTAAATATCGCTTAATATACAGAAAGTATATTATTATCGGTAATTAGAAACTATAAGCTGTTGTGACATTATGCTATTATTTTAATGATGCTTTAAAAGGTCATCAACCAACATTTTAATGATGAAAATGTTATGTAAATACATATAAATAAATTGATAATAATAATATACTTAAATTATAATATTTATGGTATTCCGTTTATTTATTAAGTGCTTCGTAAAAAAAAACTTACTATTTGCTTCAGTATTCACAAATAAATACAGTTATTGTACAATTATGAAATGTTTGATATGCATTTTATTATACATTTTTTTTTTTTTTACAATTGTATGCACTTAAGCTAAAATAATCTTATAAAGATTAATTTGATTATGTAATTTATTGAATTATCACAATTTTTTTTACTCTAATTTTAACTACACAAAACTCTATGAACTTAGAATTTTTTATGTTACAATATTAACTTAGACAATTATTATGAAGATTTTTTAGTTTTATCGTCAAACCTTCTTGAAGTTTATTTTTAGTAATAAAATGTTAACTATTGAATTGGTATACGTCCAATGTCCATGAATAACTTTTAAAAACTATTGCAATTTATTCGTGAACATTGGAGAATATTACATCAAACTGTGCTAATTAAAATGGACTGAAATTATTATCACTCCACCATAATACGTTTCATACAGTAATATTGTCGTTCTGTATAAATTATTATTTTTTAGCATAAATTAGACATTTTTAGGTTGTTTTTTATTAGTATAATCTAAATATTATTGTATTTAATATATTTTAAAACCATATTTTCCTCGATCAAATGGATGTATTTCCAAGAATATATTATTTTTAGATAAAATAATATATTTAAAAAAATAAGGTATTCTTCAATAGTACATATTATAATATTAATAATAACACTTCTAACCGTTATATTATTATAATTATTATGATAATAAAAATTTTATTCTTAAATCATATATCACATTCAAGAAGTCTTATATTATTCTTGAAAATATATCCATATGATTTTTAAAAATCTAGTCATAAATAAATGTTTGATTAAAGAAACTGAAACATAGACACCATATTCCAGTAAATAAAAAGGGAAAAGGGTACAACAATATCGAATATATTAACAAAGTATATTTTATATAACTTGATATGGAAATCATTCTCGGACCGAAATCAATTTAAATTGTAATTATAACTTAATAATAATATGACTCTTTATTCAAAGATAACATGACCCATTAGGTTGAAGAAACTACGCAGTAGTCGTTAATAAATAATAGAAAGATGCAGCTGCATATAACACCATCTAAAAGATTTAGATGTTGAGACACATCATTCGTACACCATAAGATAATAGGATCATCGTACGCAGGTAAGCATTTACCCAAACAAACATTAAATAGAACTTTTTCTAACCTGATTTACAAGGGATAAAGTAAGTATCTTCACGCTAGTCTATATAGTAATTTGATCATTTTATAGTTTTCAGCTATAAATTTATTAACTACAATAGATTAGTGCAATTAATATTAATCACTTGCTAAACTTAATAATAATATAATATAATTTTACTGGCTTAATAGAAGGGTATCACATAAATTAATACAGTTAAGTTTAAAAAAATCAATACACTATTTTCAAATATAGCTATAATACGATATAGTGATATATGGATACAAATTACATATTACTTATTATAATAAACAACATTAATTGAAAATGATCAACAAAACAAATAATGGTGAATTTCATTTTTCGCGACTTTGAATGTTTCATGTTTTGTTGTCTTTATTATAGGCTAAGTAAGTACCTTCTAGAGCCCAGTTCATTTCAAAATTATCTTGAGATTTTTTCTTGTTCTAAAATATGAAAGCGCTTATTGAACTTCAATTGTAAGGTTATATACATTTATTGACTTAATATACAAACATTGATTGGACAATTGTCACGAAAACCAAACCTTTGCTTCAATAATACATAAATGCAGATGGAATCGAAACATTTGAATGGTTAACCATAATCAAATTCGTTCTGAAAACATCCTTGGAAAAAGTTATACCTTAAATTAATTACTGATACATTATAAATATTTGTAAATATATGTCAGTTACATTTTGTTACAAAGAATAATAACTTACTTATAACAGCTTCCTTGAATTTACTAATTGGTATTTTATTTCCATCAGTTCCTTGATAGATATATTTTGTGAATTAAAATAAAAGTTTTAACATAATAATATCAACACGATATGTGACGATATTATTTTTAAACTTACATACCAGCTAAGTTTGTTTCTTTAGTCGTCTCGTAAAACAATGCAATCACTATTACACGTTTTTTTAAGTTAATTTGTTTTACCTTTTCTTTAACTAAAACTCCAACAGCATTTCAACATAGTTTAAAATTCTCATAAAGTTTAGCATTTACATTTTTACCACTGAAGTGATAACATACAATAAATTACAATTAAAATAAAAAATAACACTAAAATATAAATTCATTACTTCTATAACGACCTTTCTTAAGTGTAAAAAATACCTAACTTTTTATTTAAAAAATTCAAATTCATACTTAACTTATTTATAGTTTAAGTAAACACATTTAATTAAATATTAGTTATAAAAAATTTAGTCATTAAAAAAAAAAAAAAAATAAATAAATAAATAATAATAATAATATTCGTAATAACTTACGAATAATTGTACTTTTTAAACAGATGTAAAGTTTAATTTTTTACATAAACAGTATCGAAATTTTTGTTCTTATTTCAATCAAATCAAAATCTAAATGACTAAAAAATGTATTATTACCTTTGTTAGTTATAACATTTAGTAATTCATTTATAAGTCTTCCATCTTTATTACATTTGATTATAAAACTTTCTCTCTATTCCCTTGATTGTATATTGTTTTAAAAATTCTGCATCAAGATTATATTTGTCACCAGATGATAAGTAATAAATTATTTGTAAATATAAATCACGTAAATCTATAAGAGCTATTATTTTTTTTAAATTTATTTAGTTTCACACACAAAAAAAAAGTTATCATTATTTATTTATGAATAAAGTATTTTATAACCGTAATATTCTGTATATTTTGATATTTTACTACATAAACAAGTAACTGTCAACTAATAATATATCCAATCATGTTTACCATCCATTATAGTCAATGAAATTTCATTTACTTTAAATACATCGCTATATTCATTAAAAATATTTCAAATAATTCACCTAAAAATAAATCATACTCAATGATTTTAAGAATATCAGTAAATAAATAATAAATAATTGATCGATTATTTTATTGGATTTTTTCACTCGAAAATCTGAAACCAGCTATTGCTTTGAATATAAGTGGTGTTACCCCACAATCAAAATGTTTTTCCAAATATTTTTTAGCTTGCGTTAATAAACCATGTATATCATAGTTTCCCTCTATAACCAACAGAATTTAGCTTAAACTTTAAAGACTTCGTCGATTGAATTTCTGTTAATTTAAATCGCAAACAATATTTTTCTTACTGTTATTTAGTCTCCGAGATATTCACTTAAACCATTAGATATTGAACGATGGTAAGAATTTGATATTGAATAAAAAATATCTTTAAGTTTAAATAAAAATTACAATAGTTATTATTGTAAGCTTATACAAAAATATAATGTGACAGTAGTATTATATCCATGACATACATACTAAGCAATACAATCATGACATATCATTTCTGTATAGAAAATAATGTTTTAAACCTTCTAGTAAAGCACGATAAGTAAAACCAATATCTATTCAATATTTAGGTAATAAAGATATTGAATATTATACATTTTTACTAGCTAAATTATTGGCTTCATCCGAGATAGATTTCGAAATAAATCATACCACCTATTATTCAGCTATAAAACAAATTGAATTCCTAATTATCACATGAATTTTTTTATTATACTTGAAAATAGGTCGTTTTTCCAAAACAACATTTCATTCACCAACTTGTTTTGAAATGTTGTATTCATATTCTATTCGACCAAAATTAATTCAGATTTCATGGAGTATTACACTTAATTATTATACTAGTAAATTAACAAATCAAAAACACAATTATATTTTTCAATTTGTGTATGTTACATTTCTACTAATTTTAATGACGATGTAATCTGTAAATAATAAAATATATTTAAACCAATAACTCTTTTTTTCTGAGCCAAAATAAAAATCAGGTATAAGCAACCCTAAAACAACATATAAAAATGTTGAATTAATAAGCCGCAAGACACCCTTTAAGTCTCAAGGAAGAGGAAATATAACATTTATTAAAAACTGTCCATTAGTTTCTGAGTATAGTCATATAGATTTTACGATATTTCTAAATCGAATGAATAAAATTCTACTGCATTTTTGAACCTTTAAACAATAATTAAAATTTTGTAACAATTTGATACATAATCATAGCTGAATAAATTGTAAAAACCATATAAGCTAGTAGCTGAGGATGGTGGGAACATCCACTACGCAGTATTCAGGTGTTTTCAGGTGTCTACATCGATTATCAAGTTCAAAAGCTTTATCAGTTTTGTACTTCAAGTCTATCATACCTAAAATACCTAAATCTAACTATGTAACAATCTCAATCTCATGGCGTTTAAAATATAATTGATAGAAATTTTCCACGAATACAATTTTTTTTATTGCAACAAAATAACTAAAATGAAATAATGACAAATCCTTAAAAATGTATGGAAATTGTTGTATATAAATATAAACATATATATTATATATATATTTTAGATATATGTTGAATGCTGATGTGT